CAAATGGGGAAATAATCATTTCTTTGGCATTTCTATGTGCTAAGCACTATTCTACCTTTACATGTGTAAATCTCATTTAATCTGTGTACGCCTATATTATTATTCCCATTTTACCTTTCGAGAAACTGAAGTTTAAAGAGGTTAAACATCTAGCCCAAGATTATGCAGCTAGTAATTCAGTGCCAGAACTTACCACAGAGCCTACATATTTGAAAATTTTCAACACAGTTTTATTATATTTCACTCGTATTTGTAACTACTTCTTCCACTTCCCAGTTGTCTTCTGAGTATGTGCTTTGATGGGTTTTCATTTATTCAGAATTATGTGTCCATCACGACAATCAATGTATAATAGTTTTATTGAGATATATTAAAGAGTTGTGTAATCTTCATGACAATCAGTTCTAGAACAGCTTTCCTTTTGGTATTCATTATTAGCTCCCCATTTCCCTCCAACCTACCCTCCCATTATCCCCAATAAACCATTATATCAGTTATTGTCTCTGTAGATTTGTCTATCCTGGATTTTGTAAACTAGAAAACATATGAAAACAAAAACAGCAATATACATGCATGTGTGTATATGAAAAGACCAAAAACAATATCAAAATAAAAGAGAAAGAAAAACCTCAATTGAGAAAAAACAGGCAATATTAAGAAATAGAACAAATTTAAGGTAGTTCAAAAGGGAGATCAAATGATCAGGTATTTCCTTTCAACCTAATTACATCTGCCATGATTGAGTTTGCAATACTCTGTATCTGATAGCAAGGTTAATCCCACCCCTCGAATATGATCCCAGGGGAGGCTTAATCCATGTAGAGACCCTGCAAATAGATTATGGGCTTCCGTGTCATGATAACCTTCTGCAAATTAGGTTCACAATTTAAGTTCTGATACCATTCCCTCCTTTGGATTTGAATTTTATTATCTTTGGATCACACAAGCTGGTGTGCTTCTTCCCTGTGGACTTAGTTGATGCCTCACTGAGAGGTCTGTTTGTTTTGAAGACAAGCCTCTAAGACCCTGAGGCTATTCTTTTTAGTAGCCCGTGTGATATGCTTTTTTCACCATCTGTTGCTCTAGCGCCCACATCTTCAGTGATCTCTTCATGAGAGTGAACATCGAGCAGGGCCATGTTATAGGAATGAATTGTTCTTAGATTGGGGTTAAAATTAAGGCCAGACTCCAAATCCATCCACTTATCTTTGGTTTATGTATGTCTCTAGTCCATTTTAGAGAGCTCATTATTATTTTATGATAGAGAACATACAAACACTTTTAGAATATTTTATTATCGTAAAAAGAAACTCTGCACTTCGTGTTCATCACTTCCCCAATTCCTCGATAACCACTAATCTAATTTCCATCTCTATAAATCAACTTATCCTGGGCTTTTCACATACCGTATATACTCGAGTATAAGCCGACCCGAATATCAGCAGAGCCACCTAAT